ACCTATATATAAAAGAAAAAATTATACATTTATTAAAAATTGGTTGCCTATAATGATAGAAAATGACTATAAGCCACTATATTGCATTGCACAAATTAAATACGAAAGAAATTTGAAATATTTTACGCGTTTCATCAGAAAGTCTCTTTGTTAAACATTCCCTAAATTAGAACCGTTCATCGCGATATCAAATGCAACTTGGAAATTTTTGCAGTGTCGATATGGCAATGTTTTTTCGCTTGAACACTTCTCACAAGTTTTGTAATTCGTAAAAATGTCGCAATTTCATTCAAGTCTATGATTTAAGGAAAATACGATTCACATGCGCTTTATACTTATATGAAATTTAGATTTCACACGCCGCAGGATCCAACAATTCATCCCAATTGATACTCCTCTGAAACACCTCCTGTTGCAACCATAATTCGTAATGTTGCTTGAACTCCTCGGTCAATTCCACATTTGCACCGAGCACGGACGTTACTGACGCGTCGACTGGTTCCATTTCCTCGTCTCTCGGAACATTCGAATATCTTCGATTATTGAACTGATCAACGCAAGTACGTAGCTCGCATTCTTCAACTTGGAAATCCCACGGCCGTGCTTCTAAATCTGTTTAATCATTAGTAATTCAAAAACGTTATAAATTCTTTGCAAAATTATCATTAACGTGAAGTATTAAGTAAAATATTTTCAATTTTTTATTACCATTGCCGTACGCCCAATCGTCATTTAAGCGATGTCGAACCTTCGCATAAATGACACTAATAGTTTTCATGTTTGTCTTTCTCCACTGCCGACCGAGATACTTCGTCTGCATTTTCAATAACTTTAAAACGTATAATTGCATCATTGCATGCCTGACTTTTAACGTGCGTTTTAAAATAGGTGCTGATTTAAAAACGACTAACATCTGCAAATATAAATCCAACAAATTAATTTTCATAAATATAAATATAAAATATAATATTTAAAAAATAGCATTATTGATTTAATAAAAATTGGCTTACCATTATCCTACTGTGTTTCCACTTGGTTAATTTGTTCAAAATTCTTAATAAATTAATACAAGAGAAAACATTTCTCCATGAGAAAGACTGACTATGGCCGATTTCGAGACTTTCCGTAGTTAACTCCGGCTGATCGCCAATGACACACATGGGAAAGTCCAAAATAGGAATACTGTTGTAATATGAATTATCGGTTATACATATATTGTGAACACTTATGCCCGACGTTGGTGAAGAAGGGCATTAGAAACTTAAATCGCAATAACATTTTACTTACACATTCTTCGCTTCAATGTATGCTATAATGTTCTGATTTAAAAACTTCAATACGAGAGGTATGCAATTCGCAAATACTAAATGCTGTGACATAAATTCGAATTGGTATACGTGATTCAGTTTGAAATGTTTGAGCAACAGTAATAAAATTGCAGAAACGGCTTTAACAATAATCTCCTTATGTCGGTTAACATCGATTCCTAATTTCATTGATTGCAACACCGTCATTCTAAAAGTGTGTTATAAATTAAGTATATTTACAATACACATATCATTAAAAATATATTCATATTTAACAGCTGCAACATCATTCAAAAATCGGATATAACTAATGAATTATATTTGATATTTTTATCTCTAAGATTTTATGTACATTGATATGTTGCATCTATCATTACTCATACTTACGGCATCTCCTCTGGCAACACATCGGCCAAGATATTAATGCTGTCTGTTTTAGCTTTGCTTGTCGGTGCAGCAGCAAGTAATATTTTCAGTAAAGCAATCATATATTGCGGCAAATTTGGTAATATAGCTTGATAAAGAATTTCCGTTGGTGTTTGACGAAGCGGTGGTTCTAGAGTACTCATTGGATTTCTTGCTATCTCTTCTTCCTTCCTAATCTGAATTTCTGCTAGTGATGTATACATGTGCTAAAATATATTATAATATTAGATATTACATTAGCAGATTATATTGCAATACTGTCATAAGCCAACAAAATATACCTTTTTAAGGGTAGTGACGCCTTCGTGGATTGGTTGCGGTAAACCCGCTAAACTCTCTCTATCTCCTTGTAATTTGTAACCGACAAACTTCATTCTGGCAACTTCAAGAAAGCTGTCCACGTCCTTTTGCCTTACTTTGGGTGTCCATGGTAAACCTGATTGATGATATATTAAATATTAATACTTGTAATACTTGAATATGTGAGAATTATAAAGAAAATAATTAAAAAAAGATCACTTTTTATTATAAGCTATACCTTTTCCCTTTATAAGTTGTGGAGTACCTGGCCTTAATTGTGACTGATTATTCTGATCTTCGTAATACGATTGATTCCAGCCGCCAGGTCCACCAGGACCCAGGAATACAATCAGTTCACCGTCTCCTTCATTTGCTGTAGTATTATTTGGAGGTTCTCCTCCTTCGTATTCCATACCTAAACCTGGATCATCTAACGAGCTTTGTTTCATCAAACTCTGAAAAATGTTTGATGATTAACATGCGTGAAAGTAACAATCATATAGGATAATCTTAGATCGATGAATTACCCGTCGAAAAGGTCGATTGTTCCTTTTCTGATTTTGCGTTTCTAACAAATCTGCTGCGCTCATAGGCGGAGAGCTTGCTCTCATCGTCCTAGCGACTTCGATAGTGTCTTCCTGTAGCGTATCGAGCCCCGCCTCCTCACGATACTGCTTCTTTAACTCTCTGAGTGCGTCGATGCCGCCAAGAGAGACTAGGATTAACTTCCACAGAAGTAAGAGAACTTTTTTCATAGGAAAATGTGGTGCCGAGCCGCTGCAGAAACACGTCACCATGCCGAGAAGTTTAACAATCAGTAATTCTTCTCCATATGGATTTACTGCAAAAGAAATAGCCGTTTTAAAGGAGCAAATTTTTTGTTTGTAAGCATTAAAATGTGTTGTATAAACAATGACATACCAAGATCTTCTTTAAATCCTTCAACATTGTCTTTGTATTCACTGTGCTCGATATTTTTTAATTCCTCTCTCATAACTTCTGTTATAATATACAAAACGGACAGAATGACTCTTAAGTCTATCGAATCAGCGAGGCTAACAGCTAGCTTTCTCATCGCTGAGGTAGCAGTTGTGCTATTTCTACAAAAATTACTCAGTAGAAATTCAACCTGAATTCAACTGTTCTAATAACGTGCATACACACGTACGAAGAAACCTACTCAATCTCAATGTTCAGCAGTTCAACAAACGCTGGAAAAATGCCAGCTTCGTAGAGTAACATTACGTTTGTTCTAGTCCAGTCTTGTTGTTCCTTGTCAGACTGTACCTCAGCCCAACAACCCTGAGCTAAATAAAGAATACAACGCGCCGCTTTCATCCTGAGTTGTTTATTGGAAACTTCCAGTTGATCCAGTAACTTGTAGATTATTGATCTCTGTTGCGGTCTCGTCAAGTTTTGCCACCACGGCCGTAAATTGTACCATTCCATCTGATCCTCAAATGCCTGGAATTTATTTAGAGAAATCACACAATTCGCTCTTGCACTTGGTAAAACAGAATTGTACCTTAAGATTAAGCTGCAACTCATATTGCTCCGTATAACTATACAACTCAGCGATTTCATTAGCGTGTATGTCAGTGTCATCATAAACAAACTCTAGATCCGTAGTTCTGTTGCTTTCCTGGAATAATAAAATAATGAGACATATGTTAAATAACTTGAAGATGACATTAGGCGAATTGAGTAGCAAGAGCTGCTTGAGTCGTGCAATTTTTATTTCTGCTGAACATGAATATCGTCTAATATTATATCAAATTTGCTACAATACTTGTAAATAAAACAATACATAAAACAGTACATGTATCATGGAAACAGCATATATTGTATTAAATTTTCCATATATTCGTAAACATTATTGTTAATTATTATTTTAAGTACAATTAAATTAGAGGGTAAGATATCACTTTGTGAATATTTTTCTTTTTTAAAGTTTCAAGATGATTTATGATGTCGGAATTCAGAATCAAATTCCATTTAGTTCTATTTAATTTTTGATTCTCTATGTAATATGAGAAACACTTTGAAGATCAGAATACATGCATACATAAAATATATATAAAAATACATAGTGCACAGAATTATAAATAAAATTACTAAAGCCTACTTTGAACAACCTGTAATTTATCAGATTAAAGGCCCTTTTTAAAGGATTGTTCAAGTCTTGTCAGAATTTAAGATAGAGTTCGCGATTTCATATCCTGTAAGTATAACAAAAATGTTTGAAAAATCAGAATATACAGATGCAATATATTGAAATGTATAAAAATACACATGGCGTAGAAAATTAAACAGAATTCTATCCTAAAATCTGCTACACGTCTAAAGCAAGCTTTATTTAACATTTAGTCCTTCTGCTAGAATGAAGCTTTTCTGCTAGAACTTGTGGATGCTTTTTTTTAAATGTGTTTGGAGTAGGCTCGGTCCTATCGTCGCGTCTCTAACTGATTGCTCCAGTTTTTTGACACAGAATTTCTGATTTTCCCCCCTGAATTCGTGGACGCTGGCGTGGGATAGGTTAGGATCGCCGATCTGGTTCACCGTCGCTATGCAAATTTTCCCGAGTGCTTTTCCAGTGCGGACTCACGTCGTTGCTGGCCGCGACCCGCGAGAAGTAGGTATGGATGGGCGGGAGTTGTCTCCCTTGGAGAGGATCACGCTTGCCGTTCCCGTTCGCGTCCATCGCCACGTCGCCCAACATCTCTCGTGACGGGTGGTGGTGCTCGGCCGCGAGACTCTCGGCGCCTTCCCTCCTCAGACCATCCTCCAGCTCTCGGTCCAGAAGTCTCGTTACCAACCGAGACATTTACGTCGGCCAGGTCTTTTCTCGGGCGACGGGCAGAACTGTTCCGCGCCAGAGAACTGAGAGAACGACACGAATTCCACAATCCACCGTAGGCTGTGTTTGTTTCCCTCCCCCCGCTTACGTCACTCCCTAACCCCGGTCTACGGTCTACGATCAACGGGGATACGACGTGTACGACACCCGCGACACCGTCGGACGCCTTCGCGTCTCGCGACGCGATCTCTCTGCTGGCGATCGGACGCGTTCGGGAACGGTCGGCGTTTTTTTCCCGCGAAACCCACTCGCGATTACGAATCGTGCTTGTCTAATCGTAAATTTCTTACACGACGAAAAAAATACTTGTGTGTATATTATTATTATTCGACAATGGCAACGTATGATGTAATGTAACGATATCAGAATAAAATTAAAGAATAATGTAACAACTTTAATATTGATTATCAAGTTGAGATGTACGTTATAGGCAAGAATAGGATTGTTCTTCTAATTTTTATGGAAACTTTAAATAAATTTTACTCGTGAAGATAAGACTTTTTTATCTTCGATAAAAATTACTTGAGAGAATTTCAAGAATTTTAAGTGGAACTTGGGAAGATAATTTGGGAAAATTTATAGGCAATCTTCCCACTTTGTTTCCTTCTGAATATTTATTATTTTCTGAAGCTTTAGAAGGGTACATGTATGTACATCTGTCTTTTTGCGAAAAGTATGAAAAAGTATAAAAAAGTGAATAGCATAAGTAAGTCTTTCTTTCCAGTTGCGTCACATTTCACATTAGCGCTCGAAATAAGTGTAGTTCCAACGGAGAATAAAAGAGGACAATTTAATGAAAATTGTAACTTAAAAAAAGGACAAATATATAATCGTTTTCTATCATGCCAATTATTTCGATGCAACAATCCGGAAATGCAGCCTGCAACGTTTTATGGATGAACAAAAGGATTTTCTCCAAGTAGCTGTTGTACTCCATTCAGGATTCTGCTTTGGAAATTTCGTTTATGTCACATGCATGTATTTCACGTCTACGTCTAATGCTCATCTAGTTCTCATCTAACAGTAATAAAAAAAAAAAAAATACATGAGAAAAGTTATATAAGGAGAAAAGTCATTTACATGATAAAAAATAGTTACACGAGAAAAAAGACTCATTTACATGATGAGAAATAGAGAAAAATTATAATTAAAATACATATTAGATAAACTGTATGAAAAGGGAAACACATATGATACTATATAATAAAAAGGAAATATATATATATTTCTTATATTTCTATTAATACAATAATTAATAGTATAAATTACATGAGATATGTACGTTGGAAAAATTATATGAGATGGAAAGTACACATGATATTACATTATATGAGAAAAATTGACGAGAAACGTATATTTTTTATATTTCTATTAGAATCTAAATAACAGAATTATATGAGAAAGTGAGGAAACTATATAAGGGATACATAAGTTAGAAAAATTATATGAGAAGGAAAGTACGTGTGATATTACATGAGAAGCATATATGAATGCCACGAGCTCGACGACGAGTTCCCCATTATGTTATAGAATCTCAGTGATAAAGAAATTATATAATAGAGAAAAACTTGCATGAAGGAGGCAACTCATAGAAAAATTTATATAAATTATTATACGGGAATATAGAAATATATGATAAGATATTATACGAGAAAAAAGAAGTGTATATTTTCTAAGACATTTCAGGGTAACACATGAAGGTACAATCAAACACATAACAAATCCAAATTGGCGCACGCAAGCAAGATTGCACTTCTACCATATAGCTCGATTTTGTTGCTCGTTTGTAAAAAAAAAGCCAGCGGCACACGGAGCATGTTCTCCTGCTGGATCGCTTGCGATTTAGTGAATTACCAGAAATACTTGAGCGCTGAGTGGTGCAATTATAGTAATTTACTAGATTGCAAGCGATCCAGCAGGAAAACATGCATCGTGTGCCACTGGCTTTAACATAACAACAAGTCTTGCATTCCTGGCTTCTGAAAACACTCGCAAAGTATTGTATCCGTAACGAAATAAGATATTAATACGTGTATATTCAGCGTGAAACCAACCGGTGAGATACAAAATGCGTTCAACGAATACATCCACTATGCGACTGGCATACCCTTACCATGTTTAACCTAAAATTAATCTAAACGGGGAGGATTTAACGGAGAATCAGCTCGTCGTCAGCGTTCCCCCGCGCAACTGTCGTTCAGAACGTCAAACGCGACCATCGTCGACGCGAGTCACACGTGAATCCAACGTCGTCCGGCATAAGAACAAACGCTCGTGATATTCCCTCTTTGTTTTTACCATTTCACGAAACGGGGAAACCAAATGGAGCATTGGAGCATGGAGCGCAGGAGCGCCGAACTGCCGGAGTAGCGGAGCGCGGAGTGGAGCGAGGCGTCTCGCGTCTCGCGGCGCCGAGCGATCGATACGTCGCGACGCGTCGCCGGCGAGTCGGGCGAGTGGCGACGCCGGGCAATCGCGAGAGCTCGATAGGTCTCGAAATTCGAAATTTCGCGAATGCCGCGAGCTCGACGGCGAGTCCCCCGGGTCCCCCCATCGCTGGCTTCCATTTTGACGGACCGATCCCCGGCCCCGGCTCGCAAAACGTGAGCCTGTTGTCGTTCCGCGTCTCGCGTCATCTCGCTCGGCGTGTGCGCGTCTCGGCCGTCGGCGTCGGTGAGAGTGTCGGAGACCGGAGAGATCCCTCGGACACATCGCCGGTCGGAGTCGGGATAACGGAGGGACGGAGAGAACGGCAGCAAGATGCAGGGCACCATAATCGAGAACCTGAGCGGCAAGAAGCTCTCCGTGCTGGTGATGCTTCTGATAATCGCGCAAATAGTCTGCTTCCTGATAGGCGGTTTGATCGGTGAGTCAGAGCGTAACGCACGTGGATCTGTATCCTTAGACTTACGTTCGCGTTGTCGTCGTCCACATGATAATAAATGAGTGACATGTAAACACATTTTGTAAATATACTGCACCTTGGTCTCTTTTTTTATTCTATTTTGTTATATATAATATAGTTATTTTTATGAAAGAAACTTATAATAAATCTTTCAATGATGTTTTTATAATTAATTCTGAGGTTGCATATATTCAATAAAAATCTCTGTTACTATCTGTCAATTGAATTTTCTTTTTTTTTTACTTGCATTTTAATCTGTTGAGTCTTTGGACGATTAGCTTTTAAGGCTGCTTTATAGACGATCTACAATTCTCGTCAGAATTTAGAGTAGAATTCCTTTTTGCTTGTTACTTGTTAATTTCGAGAGTCCTTAGTTAATTATTTATTTAATTGAATAGAATTCTGTTTATAATTTTATGTACTATGCAAAATAAAATGTTGAAGAATCAGGATTACACAGATATATGAGATATATTAAAATACGTAGATGTATGCATATAAAATTACAAATACAAATCTGAAACAGATTATGGACCTTATAAAGCAGACTTCAGAATAAAGATCTATTTATAATTTTATGTGCTACGTATTTCATATATATTTTATGTGCACGTGCATTCTGATATTTTTGATATTATATAAAATAAAAAGGAACGGTAGCCTGAAATTTAAAGTAAATTATGAATCTTTTATAAAGTGGCTTTTAGAAAAGAATTGTGTTTATAATTTGATATACTAGTATTTCGATAAATATTTTGTACATATGTGTATTTTGATTCTTTAAACGTTTTTTATATTACATGAAATTATGAATAGAATTCTATCTTGGGAGATAATTCTGATAGGAATTATAGATTTTCTGAAGGACTTTAGAGATATAATAAATTGTTATAAAATATATGATAACTGTCTTTTAGATTAATTTATATAAAATATATAACGTATGTGTGTGTCTTTTTAGCACCTACACCTGCCAGCAGTCAGAATATTCTTGGCACACCGTGCAAAGTTATTAGTGTTAATGGGTCTTATGACGAAGATAAATGGTTTTACTCAAGAGGAGAAGGTTCTTGTATCCCAGTCGACATGCATCATTTTAGTTTGGACACTCAACAGGCTTATCAAGTTATATATACATTTCAGGTATAATTTATAAAATTATGTATAACTAGTAGTTACAAGAGAGGTTTTGAACTTTAAAGATTTAATAAATCTCTTTTATTTTAGATGCCCGTTCCACGAAACAGTATGCAGCTTGATTATTCGAGATGGCAGCAAAACTTGATAGGTGTTTTACAAGTGGATATATCTTATACCAACCAGATTGAAATTGGTAATGTATCTGCTGCTGTTTAAAACTTTTTGTTAACTATGATTCTGACATAGTTTTCTCTATAGCTCCTAGGACGAAAATAACATTGGATGCACGGCTAGCATATCGAAATAAGGGAGATCCAGATAATGCATGGAAACCATATGCTGCTTCTATCGTGGAAAGAATTTTGGATTGCAGCATAGACAAGGTACATTTACTTATATAATATTATTAGTGAATATTTGTTTTCTGCACGCGCATACAAATACAAATTTATAAATGTCTAATTTATTCCAGCCACTGGAGCACTATAATTACAATTGTAGCGTTATGCCGTTGTTTGAATTAGGATCTTTGTATCACGATTATTATCTGTTGAATATTCGTCTTCCTTCTGACACTGATAAAAATCAAGGACTTGGACACATTGTTGATTTATGGCTTACAGTAAGTATCGGAACGTAAAATTCTTATATCGTTATGAATAATTATAATTTTGATTAAAAATTATTTGATTCAATGTATTATTTGTGATGTTAATCTAGGCTATTAATCAAAATGGCGGATTCACGAAGGTGTGGGTGAGTCTGAAGACCATTTATTTCCCAGTAGTGCTAGCTGTTTTGGCTTGGTATTGGAGGAGAGTGTACATGTTATCCAGATCGCCCGCTCTTTTGGAGTACATGCTCCTAGCTTTGGGTTCTGCCTTAACATTTTTAAATCGTATGTTAATTGCTCTGTGCTTAATTTATAATTTCCCAAGTTTCCTATTTACGTGTATTTATCTATAAATCGTTATTATGTTATTTTCAGTGCCATTGGAATATTTAACACTCGCTTACGACATGCCATTTATGCTTTTGCTGGGTGATATTCGACAAGGGGTATTTTATGCAACATTATTATCATTCTGGCTTGTGTTTGCCGGTGAACACTTGATGGTAAAAAAATTGAACTTTTATTATTTAAAATTGCTCCAATCATATTAATAATAACTTACATCTTTTTTGTTTTGCGTACGCATCTTGGTCTTTCTTAGATTCAGGTAAGTTTTCTTTTATGTGTGAATTTTTATTTTCTTAATGAAAGATACTGAATTCGATAATGTACGTTTCAGGAGGGTGACCAAGGAAATTCATTAAAATGTTATTGGCGGCATCTCTCTGCAGTAGGTACTGGTTGTCTCTCGCTGTTCGTATTCGATATGTGCGAGCGTGGTGTACAACTGAGAAATCCATTCTATTCAATATGGGTCACTGATCTTGGCACGAAATTGGCAGTATCCTTTCCAAATTATCTGATACACATCTTTTTACAAGAAACGAGATTAAAAAAGAATTTTAAAATAATTTTTTAGATTAATTTCCTTAATCTTAAAATAATAGCTGTCTTTCATTATCTTGGCTGGTATATCGGCCGGAGTATATCTGTTATTTTTATCTTATATGATATGGAAAGTGTTCATGAACATTAGCGCGAAGAGAGCCGTTTTACCTAGCATGAGCTCGGCGCGACGCCTGCATTATGAGGGTGTCATATATCGTTTCAAATTCTTAATGATCGCCACGTTATTATGTGCGTCATTAACCGTCATTGGTTTTATACTCGGACAGGTAAGAAATTGATGTTTTAATTATATATAATTAATTGGACAATTATATATGTATAACGTTTCTGAGATAGGTTGCGGAAGGTCAGTGGAAATGGGACGAAGATTTACAGTTGGAAATGACTTCTGCCTTTTTCACTGGGGTATATGGAATGTGGAATATTTACATCATTGCATTATTATGTCTCTATGCGCCTTCCCATAAGCAATGGCCAATTGAGCCATCTGGTAAATATACAACATTTCTATTTATAAATTAAATATACATTTGAGATTCTTATATATCATGTATATTAATATTAGATCTTAAATTTTATCAAATTCTATTGATATATTTATGCGATAAAACATGCTATTTTTTAACTTTCAGAGAACAGTATTAGTGAAGAAATCGAATTTTCTCCTTTGCCAACCGATCCTAATGAGATGCTGTCTCTGACTGCATTTGCACGAAAAACAGCAGTAGAGTAAAGTACATATGTCTACTTGTGTACATTTTGTAAGAAACAGGACAACACGACAAACTCTACTTAATACTTAATGTACTTAATTGTTATAAGTAGCACTTGTAAGTAGAACTGTACTTAGATTTTCCACTATTTATTAGGAACCCAATGACTGATAATACTCCTACACACGATTTTATATGCCAAATTTGATTATTTATTGCTTCCAACATTTTTTTGTATGTTTTTATGTACCTATTTATAATATTATATTATCTATAATAAGAAATATATATAAGTCATTTCATCTTCGTATTCGTTGATATTTGTTATAAGTACAAATTCTGGAGTAGATTTAATATAAGATCTGTTTTTTATACCATTTACACAAAAATTTAGCGTAATTACAACGTAAATATATATGTATGTTCAAACACAAGTGATGTGTAATATTTAAAATCACGTACTTAAAAGAACTATACGAGAGAAAGTATTAGAATAAAACAATAGATCATGTTATTTTAATAGAAGATCCTTAACATGTTATACAAATATTTTCTACATTCTTCTTTAAATTCGCGAAAATATTGCATAAACGATAATCAAACATTTCCGAATCAAACGTTTTACATTATGCACATGAGATGAAATGACTTTACGTAGTAAACAGCAGCTAATCTGTAATTGAGATAGAATTTACACAGTATTATATGGATGTATTACCGTATTGCGTATACAATTAATTTCTATAAAGCTACTAATAGATAAGGTATATTTTTAACTGCTAAATATCGATGAAATTTTTATGTTGAGAGAAAAGGTTAAAGAATTTTTCCTTGACATATTTTTTACATGTAAAATTTTTAGAACTTTCAGTATTATATGCTTATAGCAATCTGATAGATAGTAGTCCTGCACTAATCTAATAATTTTTTTTATATTAACATGTGACTCGTCTGTTAATGTAAGAGCTGTATCTATGTATTACATACTTAAACAGTTAAGTATTTTTAAATCGACATTGAAAATTTGAAATAGCATTCCAATCTTACAAGATGTTATAAACATTAAATGTGTTTATATAAGTGATTTGTTGCAATTAATCAGCAACGTAATGAGTAGATTTAGACGATTTATATTAGGAATTCGTAAAGCATATACTTATTTCTTCTATTCACTTGTCATATATTAAGCGTGAGATGCGTGAAGCGAAGAATGTAGTTTTTACTTCCTAATTAGAATTACATAAAAAAAAGCCTCCTATGATATCTTATATTATATTATACATATCATTATTGGGCATTCATCTATCATTTGTAATACAATGTATTCGATCATGATTGATAGTATTAAGAGCCAGTATTCGTGATTTATTGCGGCATCTTGAAAGTAACAAATTTCAAAACGGAAAGTATGTGCCAACTCACTTAAGTCTGCCATTCAAAATAGCGTCAGTTTTTTATCATATACATCGTTACATATACAAAGTATTAATGCAAGTCTTTCACTTTAGATAACGCTATGAATACGCAAGGTGTAGTTCGCACGAATCTATTATTTAAAAATTAGATCAGGAACTGTTCGATAACATTCTACAGATGATTGTGTATGTATTTAATGTAATATCGAGACACTTAATGTAGTACTTATTATAGGCACTGATTATAAAGTAGCATTTTATAAAGTAAGGTGCAATAGTAGTCTCTCTCCGTATGTCGACTTCATGCTAGTGCATATTAATCAAGTAATGTAGCGGTATTTAAACTAGACACGAGAGCGAAGTTTACAGAAGATTCTTTTACCTTTCTAAACAATTAATTCGAGCAACGACCCAATAATTAGTCCAGGACTTTTTTGATGGATTCAGTAATCCACGCTGTTTCGTTGTTATGTAAAAGAAACATTGTACCGAAAGCAATTGTATTTGTAAGTAAATCCGACGTACTCTACAATACCGTGCACCGCCTTCGCAACATTTTTATATAATTTGGTGATTTTTATACACTTTTTAAATAAACGGATCTGTTGTAGCCATTTCTGCATTTTGCGCGACAGCGAATCTATTGGGATAAGCGTTTGTATCGCGATTGGTATTCAAACGCGTGAATCACGTATCGAGAGCCATTGCGAATCCGGACGTTAAAATTCCCGCCGCGTGCCGGCGATGGGAAATTGGGAAATGGCGGCGCATTATTTGCTCGGAGTCCGCGGGCGGCAGCTTCACACACTCGAGGGGAGAGAGAATTTAACCGAGAGATTCTGCGCACGCGCCGAACGCCGCTGTCGTCGCTCGTCGGAGGCAGCAGCGTCGGTCGGGGCCAGGAGGCAGGAGAGTCCAGTGTGCGAGCGACGAGAACGCAATCAGATGGTGGCGAAGATCGTGGATTGACAGGTCGCGGGTTGCACGAGAGAGCGCGAGAGAGAGAGAGAGAGCGAGGGAGCGCGCGCGCGCGAGAGGGAGAAGGAACAGGCGTTTTAACGGCGGTTGGCGTTTAGGCTCTCTCTCTGGCAGGACGGGGACGGTTTTTTTCCGTGTGTACGCGTCCGTGGCACGAAAGAAAAGCTACGGAGAAAGAGAGAAAGAGAGGAGAGAAAGCGAGCCGCGAGTGAGAGAAACACGGCGGTTGACGTGCGCGACGGTCTCGTCATCGACGACGAAATGATCCTCTAGCCTCCCCGTGGCTTCCTTGGCCTGGCCTGGTCCGCGCGAGAAGGGAGGCCGACGAGCGGACTCTCGGAAGCAGGAGGTCACCCCCTTGGAGGAGAAGGAGGAGGCGGACCATCCCTTTCGTCTGGTAGTTTCGAGCTTTTTTTTCCACGGGCAGAGAGCGAGCGAGGGGAAAGAGAGGGAGAGAGAGAGAGACGCACTGATCGCTTGTACACATACAGCGACAGAGAGAGATAGAGAGAGAAAGAGACGCACACGCGCGACGCTCACAACGCGCTTCGCGGAGGAGGGAAACGAAGAAAGGAAGAAAAGAAAGACGGACGCAGCGCAGCGCGAACGAGCGCAGTTTTCACCTCGCGGCGGATTATTCCACGTCTCGCGTTCGCCCGCGTCGAATCGCGAGATCGTCCGCGTGATCTCGCCCCGCGTACTCGCCCTTCGGTTAGGGCGAGCCTCGTAAGATCTGGTCGATCGACTGGTCGATTGTCGCGCGTTCGCGAGCGTGCAGTCTTTATTTATTTTTATTTTTCTTCCCTTTTTTCTCCTTCCCTCCGTCGTTCGTCGCGCGACGCTCGTGTGTGCGTCTGTCTCTCTCTTTCTCACTCTCCCCCTCCCTTCGCTCTGGCTGACGCTCTCTTTCTCTCTCTCGCTCGCTCGCTCTCGCTCTTTCTCGGTTACTCAGTGCGCTGAATATAACGCTCGTTTTACATTATCGTCGGGGACAGAGAAGTGCGTGTCGCCGCAGAGTGCCCGGAGTACGGCCGCGCGAGGAGTTCGCGATCGTTCCCTCACGCGCCGAGAAGGGTAATCGACGGGGGCGCTTATCCAGAGGGCCCTCCCGGGGCACGACGGAGTGCCTGTCGGGCTCAGCTGATCCACGCGCAGCGGACGGCGGAGGAGTAGGAGGAGGGCGGTGGAGGAGGTAGTGGTGGAGGACGCTACCAGGAGCGCCGCGGGGCGAGGAAGGGCCCCAGCCGAACTCAGCACCGTCGACGATCGAGCAGCGCCGATAAATATGTCGTCCCCCAGCGCCGGCAAGCGACGCATGGACACGGACGTTATCAAACTGTATCCTTGGAAGAGAGCCGCTTTTTGCGAGAAAGCTCCCCGTCCTCTCGTCCGTCGGGGGCACCATCCCCCCTTCCACGCTGGGAGTCCGATAAGTACCTCGTGCGATTCTGCACATTGTCGCGCAGTGGCGGCGCACGTGAGAGCGACTCGCAATCGCAACGCGCCTCCTACTTGCACGCGCGCGTCTGCTGTGTGCGTGTGTGTGCGTGGGCTTATACAAGGTGCTGAAAAGCTACGAGCGGAATAGACCTCGCTCGCGGATTTCTTTGTCGTGTCGGGTTGGCGCAAAAGGTTTCGCGTTTCCCCGAGCGTTTTCACAGAGCTTTGTATCGAGTAAAGTTAGATCGTTCTAACGAACGGTTCTCCGAAAAGATCGAAAAAATGTAAATGAGAAAAGGGGCACGTCGGATGCCGCGATTTCTTTTCTAATCTTTTGAAATTTTGTCTCCGACTTTATTTGATGAACACGACAAACCTTTCGCGTCGATCTGATACGAAATTTTGGTCGAATTTCGTAATTTCCTAGTTTTCTATACCAAATACAGAGACCATCGCGCATCGTGTTCAAATTTCTCTTGATTAACGTCTACTGGATGTAAACAGAAAGATTAAGCACTCGTTGGTTGTGTGTGTTTAGAAGACAATCTATTTCTAGACTCTCTTATTAATGGGAAATTCTTCCCGCGGTCTCATATTATAATCGCTAATTAAACGGACAAGTAAATCTATAAAATTATCGGTAAAAAGTCCAAGAATATCTGATGATAAATTTAATTAAAGATCGAAACGTCTTTGATCGCTTTTCGTAGACCACTAAAGTTTTATGGAAATTTAAAGATTCTTTTCTCCCTCCCTCTTTCACCTTTGAACCTCGAGGTCTGTGCACCTATAAGTTTATTCAGCACTCTGTGTCCAGCGTGTGGATGTGTATGCGTGTGCGTGTGCACGTGGCGAATCGCTGGCTCGCTTATCGAGCACAATAATCACCGTGATAATCGTATTGCCGATGCGATGAGGCTCGCGAGCGATACAAAAGGCAAAAAAAAAAAAAAATTCGCTCGTTTACGCGCGGCGGACATTTAACTCGTCTCCAAGCCGCTCGCCGCTTTGTCGACGTTTCGGCCACAGCTGTTTTTAACCAGCTGACTCGTAGGCGCTTGCGCGTATGCGTTCGTTCGTGCGTGCGTGGACGAGCGGTGAGCGAGCGTGTCGTTGTCCCGCTCGCTCGCTCGCTCTCGCTCTCGCTCACGCTTCGCTTCGCTCTACTCCTTTTGTTTTCCCTCCCTCTCTCTCGCGCTCTCTTTCTCTCCGTCTCTCTCTCTCTCTCTCTCTCTCTCTGTCTCTCTGTCTCTCTCTCTGTCTCTCTCTGTCTCTCTCTGTCTCTCTCTGTCTCTTTCTGTCTCTTTCTCCCCCTCCCCGTATCGCGCTTTCGAAGACACCTCGCTTACACCTGCCTCGGTTATTTATTTGCGATATAATCACGCGGTTCGCGTCGCCGCTATTATCGAAGCGCCGATGTCACGCCTGGCGATTACTTCTCGTCCAAACGAAACTTCCGTTCTCTTTGTCCTCATATATAGGACTGCGTGAAAAGAATAATGCTTTTTTTTCGTAACGTTGATTATTACGGTGGCGACCGAGGGTGAGCGCTCGAGGGACCGAGGGTTCTGGGATACAGAAAAGCCTCGGGATGGATGGATCTTCCCATTCTTCGTTTTTTTCCTTCCTCTTCCATCTTTCACGTCTTTGCCTACTTCTCTCCACCTCTTCTCTCGTTTTCCCTCGTTTTTATTCTTTTTGTTCCCTGTTCTACAAATAGAGCGTTGCTCTCTAGGAGAGATCTCGTCGAGTCTCCGCTCGAAAATCCCCGCCTCGAATTCCGTTCCTCGAGACGCGGAGATCCAGCCAGGACCACGGAGACAAAGAGAGAGAGAGACAAAGAGGGACGCGGACCAGCGAGAGGAACGTTAATTGAGACGTCACCCTCGTTCGCGGCGAATTCGAAACGAGGCGAGAGCGAAGTGGTCAGAGAGCGCCTTAGCACGCGCGAGTAAAAATAAAGCGGCCGACGCGATGACGGTCTCTATATATTCCATCGGGCCAGATCTCGCCGTACTGACGCATGTAATAGGACGGGTCGATATGTATATTTCGCGTGCGGTTCGTCATATGCGACGCGACGAAAACGCGACGGCGGCGACGGGTCTTGCGCGCCGGGACTTGCGAAGGTCAGTTACACATCGGCGATCTCTCCTGACTCCTCTGTCGATCCCGCCGATCGGCGACGAGGAAATTTTTATCCGAATTTACTCCGCGCGATCGCGGGTATATTTCTCTTTCCGTTCGGATTGCCCGTTGCAAAACTGAAAAGAGGAAGAAGAAAAAAAGACGGGATATTCTTTGCGCAACTAACGGCGAGTCCGATAGGTGACCGCTCAGATGACACGGTCTCTTTCCTTTGAGAAAGAGCGAACGATTAGCCAGCTGATGCGCTCGAGAGATAACAATATAGATAGAGAGAAGAAAGAAAGTTTAATTAACGCCGATGTGCCGTCCCGTAATCGACATTTCTTGTTCGACTCGGTAATCTCGCGATACGCCTCGCTCTTTCCCTCGGTCGACAAAGAAAGGAAAACGCGCGCGGCCCGCTCCGATCCTCGATAATTCGTCGATAATACCTCTTCCCTCTTTCTTTTACAGCGCGTTTACTGGATTTTTTTTTTTTTTTTTACGCGCACGGTGTCGTTACTTAGCGAATGATAGCGCGCGCGCGTATGTCGGCAATATAATTCTTTTATTCATCGCGATAAACGCGACGCGCGGGTTCGAAGGTCGCTCCGTGCAGCTTCGGGGATTATTATAGAGCGGGCTCTCCGAGTGTGGAGAGAGCCGCTCCGGGAGATACACGGGGACGCGCGACGCGCGAATCGATACGCGCCTCGAGAAACACATCGTGCGTTTAATTATCGTACCGGGGCAGAATTATCTCGTGGCGGCGCGAGCGAGCGAGCGAGCGAGGCTAACTGCGCGATACGTTTACACACGTCCCGGCGTGCCATGTTACATTGTCGAGACGAGACGCGACGCGACACGTGAGATGTAGGTGCAGGGGACAGAGAGGGGAAAAATGCAACGTAACAGGCTTTAAAATAACAGTAGATAGCGTCAAAACGAAGCGACGAGCGCGAAAATAAATATTCTCAAATATCTTAAAGAGGCCAGGGTAAAATCTTTCGCGAAACGTCTTACATCCACTGCTTTATTCGAATTGCCAAAGATACGAATTTTATTTATATAATTTGACATCGGCGCTATTTATGAGCCACGGAATTGACATAATTAACTCCCGTCCCGATTGGCGAACGAAAGTCAAAGTTTCGAGAAATTCGCGGTTCTGATCTTCTAGCTGTGCGTGACGTTACGAGAGTCGAACGGCACACGCGTGTTTTTGGCCGTTTTTCAGTCACGACGCATCTCCTCCGTGAGATGCTGCTGCCGAGCACGCTGACGCTCGCGGGATTATTCTCGTACATACGCGCGTCGTAGAGTGGACCTCTTTAATCGTTGTGTATCAACACCTCATCGCGCCTAATTTTATCGCAATACCGCTGGTGCGTGCCCCGGTATTCGTAACAGGTGGAATATCTCGCGGCTTGATAATCCAATTTGCATCGCACCTCGGTCGTCGCGAAGTTGCGCTCGGCGGAGCTCGTTAACCCTTTCGCTATACGGCGTATTAAATTTGCTTTTCTCGAGGTTACGGCTAAACGAGACGGCTAATTCGTTTTACGATTATCGCCGCGACACGCGGGCTCCGACGCACTTTTGATATTTCTGCGCGACGCAACGTGGCGGCCTGGCGCGGAAAATAACGATGTTATAAAATTAATGCCGGCGGAGAGTTTTCCAATCGATCGCGCTCCTCGATTCTCCAGATACCGACGTGTCTCGAAGTTATCGCCAACTTCTCGATCTGCGACGAATATAAAGCAGTGAGTCATTAGAAACTGCGTAGAACAACTTTATCTCTTTATCTATTGCTTGATTTTAATAATCTTATTTGTTTAAGAAAGTGCTGGAATTTAGAAATCGCATGTGGCACACACATTATTGAATTTGTTTCTCATTTTCTTCTGTTTTCTTTCGAAACTTTTAAAAATGAAATTTGATTTCTATTTAATTAATCTTTTTTTTCCTCGGTCAGCATAGTGCGTGAAAAATTGCGTGCCACAGAATAATATCGCGGTGTAACGTGACTCCGCTCGGTATCGGTCGAATTTTCGCGATCACGAAACGTCACCGGGTCACCTTATCTCGAAGAGCGGACAAAACACCGAATTCGGTCTAGCTACCGACAAACGCACTATATGTTTATCGTGATAACAAGGCCATCAGATCAAGCCAGACGTGCACGACGCATGTGCGGGCAATATATCTCGGGGAATTATATTTGAACGTTTACTTTCGTCGATTCTGCCGTCGTCGTGATTACCCCCCCTCCCCCGGCACCGTTCAAGCGATGTTTACGATTTCGCAATATTTCGGAGTTATAATGCCGGATGTAATCACGTTCGCGCGCAACCGAGATATTTGTAAAACCGGACGCACGGACGAACGCAAATCGCCAGCGTGCGCCTTAAATCGCGCGATGTCTCTTATTTCGCGAATTGCGCAGAGTGTCGCTCGCGCGCGTCAAGCGCACGACGCGACGCGCCGTTTAAAGCGAGTCAGTCGTTTGCACGGAAAACGTTTCGCGGAGCCTCGTCGAGAAACGGGCACGTGGCGCTTGCCCATAATTTAGATCCTACCTCCGACGATTACCGTCCGTCTTTTGAAAATTGGATGAAGTTATTTTCGAGTAAACGGGAGGGCCGCATGGGGGAAGGGGATTAAAGACGCGTGACAGCCTCGGACAATCACGATAGCTTCCTCGTGCGCGATGCCGAGAGTTCTTTTCCGTTCTTTCCTTGTCTCGCGATATCGATCACGCTGTGTTG